GGAATAGTTCGTTTCCGGGTGAATATACATGCTTTTGATTTCGTGAGTGAAATGTTTAAACTTTTCTCGTGACACCATTGGTTAAATCGAAGAAAAAATTGATTTAAAGAACTGTAACCAGATTCAAAATCACAATTATCAATGTAAATGCATATATCGTCAGCATATTCCAGTATCTTAATATCCCTGAATTCGTCTGTTAGCTTTTCTAGGTCAAAGGTATAGATTGTATACAATATAGGACTTAAAACGCTACCCTGAGGTAATCCCAGACTTGTGGTTCTTGTATCTAAAATTTCCTCATTTATTTTAAGGTTAATTATGCGATTACGATATAATTTTATTATTTTTCTAGAAAATTCACAACTAAAACCAATTCGCACCATTTGTTGATGTAGAATTCCTAGATTTACTTTATCGTAGGCTCCCTGAATATCCATAAACAACGCTATGGTAGAACGATTTAATGAGAATGAGATATTAATGTCAGTGACTAGATGAGTAACATTTTCTATTGTGGAATGAGCTTTTCTAAACCCAAACTGATATTTTGGTAGTTTGAGATTGGATTCTAGCCAATATTCCATTCTTGTTTTGAGCATTCGCTCGAATGTTTTAAGTACACATGATGCCAGTGATATACCTCTGTATGATTCTGCTAGATTTGAATCTTTTTGCGGTTTTAACATTGGAATCATAATGTATTTCTTCCAATCTTCTGGATACTGCGAGGTTTCCCATATATTATTTATTATTTCTAACAAAGTAATTTTGCATGATAATGGAAGGTTGTATAACATTATATAATGAATGTTGTCGATACCAGGAGCCGTATTTTTGTGCTTTTTAATACTGCTCTGGAATTCTTTGAGACTAAATTTCTTTAACAGACTGTCCATTGCAATTTTATTGATATTTTCTACTTGAGGAGGGTAAACTGCTTCTTCTTCTTCAACCCATGGTGGCGTGACTTGGTTTATAAAGGTTGTTGTCCATTCTCCTGCTACTACCTTACTGACTGGTTCTTTACAATTATTTTTTAATTTTCTAACCTCTGTCCATATTTGTGAGATCGGTGTATTTTTATTTATTGAAGTACAAAAATTTCTCCAAGATTCTTTTTTGCGCTTTTTTATTAGTTTTTTACACAAAGCCATTGTTCTTTGTAGACAAATATAATTTTCTGCATTTGAGTTTTGTTTAAAACGCAAAAGAGCATCTTTTTGATTTTTCATTAATATATCACATTCTTCATTCCACCAATGTTTATTAAATTTCGAGTTGATCACTTTTTTCTTTTTGGGTATTGAATTTTCTGCTGCTTTGTTTAATTCTGCTATAAATTTATCATATCGGTTTATATTATTATGATTATTACTGTGTTCAATATTTTCAGAAAAAAGTGACCAATTTGCTTTGTTTAAATTCCATCTGTTTTGATTTGTTTTAATAATATAATTATTACTTTTGATTTCTATTAATATGGGAAAATGATTAGATCCTAAAGTATTTATTTTTGTTTGCCAATTGCATAATGTAACCAAATCAGGCGATACAATAGACAGGTCTATTGCCGATTTATTCTTTTGATTTAATGAAGGAATGAGCGTTTCCGCGCCATTATTAAGAAAAACTAGATTGGTATTTTCAATTGCTGAAAGTAAATTAATTCCTGCTCTATCAGTAATATCACAACCCCACACTTGGTGGTGACAATTAAAGTCACCCGCCAACAAAAAAGGTTTTTCCAGGCTTTCAAGAAACAATGACCAACTTCTTTCAGATATGTTTAATTTCGGTTTTGCATATATCGAATAAATATTTATTGTAAATAAGTTACTTACTTTAACAGCTAGAGAGACAGTCATTAAACCTTCAATACTCTTAAAACTCTTTGTATTGTTAAAAGCAATATTTTTTTTCAGAAGAATACCTACACCACCATATCCATCTTCTCTATCTGAACGAAACAAATGATACCCATTAAAATTTGGTTTCAAATGTTTCTTTAACCAAGTTTCACTTAAAATACTCAAATGAATATTATTATCATACAAAAATTTTTCTAGTAATCCTTTATTGTGTATTAATGATCTTATATTATACTGAAGAATATTGAATTTATTGTTGAATGTTATTAAGAATTGGTAAAATATTCGTTTTAATTGAATTTAACATTTGCTTATTATCTGTTGGTATATACTCTTTTATAACTTTTATAATTGATTCCATTATTGTGTTGCTCTGAATACATGCAGCATCAAAGTGAGTAAAAGAAGAAGTACTCGGCTGACTAAAAGGTACCTTGTGATATTGTGGAATATTTCTAAAACTTTCATATACGGGTCTAGAGGGGATAGTTGGAAGGGTTATTATATCTCTATGCTCTTGGGTTATAGGATCTGGTGGTAATGGACTTGTTGCGATTATTTTTCTTTTTATATTGACTGTATATTTAGATCCCTCTGTGGGAGATTTAGTAGCTGATGCATAGCTTGATTTATGTCTATTAAGGGCTTCCACATAACTTATGTTTTCTGTTGCCATTAAACGTTTAATTGATTTTTGTTCGGAAAATTCTGGACATTTAAATTTATCTGTAGCAGAATGATTGCCTGTACAAAAAATACACGAAGGGTTGTTTTGTTTCTCGCAAGTATCACTAATATGTTCATTACCGCAAAATTTACATCTTTCCTTACCACGACACTGCTTAGCTATATGTCCATAACGCAAGCATTTTAAACATTGTATTATTTTAGGAATATATGTTTCGACATCATAAACAATTTTTTCTATTACTACTTGACTAGGAATTGTTTGTCCCTTAAAAGAGACAATAACAGTCCCCGTAGGAATTAATTTATCCTCAGATTTTCTAAACATTCGCTTAACCTGTGTAACTGTAACAACCTGACCAAATTTACCTTTAATTAAACCTTTTAATTCAATTTCAGAAATATCAGTATCTACATGTCTAACAACACCTCGTTTTTGTGTGTAAAAAGTAGGTATATAAGCATCATAGTTTTTATCCGACAGTGTTTTAGATTCAGCTAATTTATTTGCGGCCAAAAATGTATTACATTCTACTTTCAATTTATTTCTACCAATTATGGAAATGTTAACAATATTATGTTTAATTTCATTTTCAGCATTTAATATTAACCTTGCAGCTCCTATTCTATGCAGTTTACCTATATTCCCTGATTTATTTTCTACGAAAACATAGTACGGTCCCTGATCTCCAAGTGAATAATAATTATTTTCAATATTTTCAATAGATATTTCGCTTACCTTGTTACTGCCATTTTGATATTTATTATTTAGATTTATATTTTGATACTGACTTTCTTTCCTTCCCCTATCTGGTGGGATATTCCGATCGTCATCAATTTCCATGTCGTATTAAACACACACACACAAACCTATTAGTTCAATAGACCCAACTACAAATATTAACTAAAAACTGGTACTGATAATTTACACTTCCTAATTGCCCTCGATGTACACTCGACGAATGTTAATCGACAACTGATTCCAGATAGATGAATTGGCAGAAAAAGAGCAATTAATGATCTCCGAAATCACCGGAGTTAAAACCTTTAAACTTTAATATCTTAAATATATTATTTATAAAACACAATAGAAGATATTGACAAACTTACAAAATGAATTACACCAGCATGTGTTTCAATTTCATCTGAAGTTAGAATTTCATCGGAAGAGAAGAGTTAGGAAACAGGCTTTACTTTTGCTTAGAGCAAAATTGGCAACATTTTAATAATTATTAAGATATTGCGTAAGTACGTGTTTTATTTTTGATTGTGTTTTTCGCTGTGAAGTTATTATTATAAAATTAAAATATATCAAATCGAACGGTAGCATGTACACTACATTTTTTCTAACTCAAAGGTTGGAACGGAGCCAATTAATTGGCTAACTAAAAAAGCCTCAATAAAATAATTTTTATTTACATAATAAGCTGCCCGTGTCTGTTCGTGCCAGGTGGGCGTACATATAAATTCTGTGAGAGCTAACCTTCTGATCGTTTCTTGTTCTGTGGTATATCTTTTTCTTCTCTTTACTTTCACACTGCGAGAACTAGACTTGCAAAAATAAAAAATCATAAGTCATCAATCGCTAAAAAATATCGTTAGGTAATATCGATAAAACTTTCTAATGCCATAATCAAAATTAAAAAGAAGGAAGAAATGGAATTAAATTTTTACCCAAAAGAAATTAATATTCCTTGCAACCTTACAAACTATTTGGACATATATTGTCGAAGTTTTCGAAAATAAAGTGCACCGAAAACTCTTATTTTAAACGAGTGAAAACTTCATACTCATTTAATTGTAGGAGTAGGGAAATAGTAATTATACAATTGACGTTTGCCTTGAAGGAAACTTTAATTTACCTTAACTAAGAAGTTAACCAATTAAGAATTTTATTTACGTCAGAAGTTTAACCGCTTTGCAAAAATAAAAAATCATAAGTCATCAATCGCTAAAAAATATCGTTAGGTAATATCGATAAAACTTTCTAATGCCATAATCAAAATTAAAAAGAAGGAAGAAATGGAATTAAATTTTTACCCAAAAGAAATTAATATTCCTTGCAACCTTACAAACTATTTGGACATATATTGTCGAAGTTTTCGAAAATAAAGTGCACCGAAAACTCTTATTTTAAACGAGTGAAAACTTCATACCCATTTAATTGTAGGAGTAGGGAAATAGTAATTATACAATTGACGTTTGCCTTGAAGGAAACTTTAATTTACCTTAACTAAGAAGTTAACCAATTAAGAATTTTATTTACGTCAGAAGTTTAACCGCTTGTTATATTGTTAATTTGTCATCTTTACTGTACCTACTATGCGCTTTCATTATTTTTAATGTATTTTGATTATTTGTGATATTTCTATTCTTAACAAGATCATTTATTTTTTTTTCAGAAGCCACTCGAAGGCATCTAATTTATCTGCCCTCCACGAAATGGAACAGATTTTGCCAGAATCGGACACAGATAGTAATAAAAGAACTATGTCTCCTAGTGGACATAAACTTCGTTCAGAACCAATAAGTGAGGCTCCGAAAATAAAAGAAATATTTTGTTCATCTCATACGACTCTAAAAAATAGTAATATTTCAAGGAGATCCTCAATGAATGAAACAAATATTGATAAATGTGATTTAAAAAATAATCTAGTTTTACCTGATGTCCTTCCAGTTAATGCCAAGCTAAGATCTCTATATCATGCGACCTCCGAACTCTGTGATACTGATTCACAGATAATTTTACCAAAGCCATTGCCCAAATCTCCACCTTCTTCATCGCCAAAGAGCCTGTCAAGAAATTGTAGTTTTACTAACAAATTTTCTTCTATTACAACTTCTAATGCGATTATAACATCGTCCCGAACTTTTTCACAATCCCCTACAGCTATTTCGTCATCACTCTCTGCATTTTCTACACCATCCCCCATTTCTGTGCCGTCTTATTCTGAGGCTACAGTTCCTATTTCGAGACTTTCTATTAGTTCTGTTGATTTAGGTACTAGTATTAGGAGCACTGCGGCTACTTTACCTAGAATGAATATAAGCGGTACTAAAAAGACAAAAACAATTACTATTACACCACCTAGTTATCCCGATAGAACGTCCCCTTCAATAACCAAACTAGTGAGTGGAAGTTCTCCTTCAGTCAAATGTTCTCTTTCTCCTACATCTACATGTAAGCCACCTGTAAAAATATCGATGACGTCTACATCCTCAACTCCGGTAATATCTTCGTCACCTATTACACTTCAGTCGCCTGAATATTCTCCTTTAATTTCTTCCACTCTTAAAGAAAATTATCCTCAAGGCTTGCAGTTAATACAAAGAACTGAAGTTGTTGTAAGAGTCAATGCTACGAATGATGCTGCTTCTCAAACTGAAAAGGAAGAGTGGTCCTCTACACCTTTATCTGTGAGAAAAAAATTAAAGGAAGATATTGAATATGAAAAATTAGCCGAGGATCTCTTTGACCATTTGTCTAGCTCTGACAGATTGAAGGGACTTTTAGGTAAGCACTTAATGTTTATCAATTCATATTTGTAAAAAAGAGTGGTACAGTAGGCGGTACTGTAGACTAGGGCGAAGCTTCATACTGTTTTCTGTGATTGTAAATTTTAAATATAATTTTTAAAATTAAATGAAGTAATTTTATTATTTATTTATTATTTTACTTATACGTGTAATTTTAATAAACACGTGGTAAATTTATAGATTGTAACACTTTAAAATCTTTTATTAATTTTTTATATTTAATTTAATTTATAAAGTAGTAATTTTTATGCTACCCTGTGAAATATTAAAAAAAACACGCCGTATATATTTTCCAATGTTTATATTTAATTTGCCTTGAGTTGAATGCTTCCTCTTAAAAATCTAATTAAGTCGCAACAAGCACTTACCGTTTTCAAACTGAGTCTTTCATATCAGACATCGGTTTAAAGAGTTATAGTCTGTTTTTTCTCTCGGTCCACCAGCATGTCTTTTTATTTTTCCATAAGTCTAAGGAAAAAATACACATATTTAAATATATGACACCTTTATCTATCTTCGCTAATATTATTTCTAGTGGATTTATGGTTTAATAAATGCATTGATTTATGGATGTACTATATATTTCGTACTTCTCATCACCTCTTGTTACGTAGAATTTTGGATACAGTGGCATTAAAGATATTTCTGTTCTTTTTCAACCTATGTACAAATGGACCATCCAGATAAGTAACTCCGTTTCCTCTTTAATTTGTTGACAATCCCAACAGCAGTAAAAGAAGGTTTACACAGTCGAGTGGATATTATTTTTATAGTTTTTAACCTTACATATTTTTTTATTACTTCAACATAATCTTAAATAATTGCAAATTCATAAATTTTGAAGTTTTCTTTTTTTAAAAGTTTGTGAAAATACTAATTTAAGAGAAATTTAAATAATTATGCAATTTCAATCCTTGCTTACGTATTTTATGAAAGTATGTAAGAATTATTGTTATTTGAATTCTGCAGATACTTTGATTACTTTATATTTTAATATAAATATCAACTGTCATATATTATGACAGTGGCATAAGTTTGAACAGAAATTTTTGAATTATTTCTGGGGAAAAATTCAACAATTAGAAATCAACAATGAATTGCAAAATGGGAGATACAATGATAGGATAGGTATCTCACAGAAAAAACATACGTACTACAAGTATATATATATATATATATATATATATATATATATATATATATATATATATATATATATATATATATATATATATACAGGGTGTCCCAGACTAATTTACCCACGCTATATTTTTTAAACGAATAGAGATTTTCAAATGGGACAAAAAGTGATCTATTCTACTTGTAAAACACTTTAATATAGCGTAAAAAAAATGATCCCCTAAATATTCATCCCTTAGTTACAACCCCTAACTTTAATTTTTTTAATAGCACCCTGTATATTTTTTTATAGTTTTGGATGTGGTCTTCTATCGTCTATTCAACAGATTTATTAAAAATAAAATCGGTTTATAAATAATCAAGAAATCAATTAATTTTTTATTTTTGTTAATTAAGTGTCCCAGACTAATTTATCCAGGCTATATTTATTAACAAAATAGAGATATTTTAAAGGGTCAAAAACTGGTCTATTCCATTTGTAATACACTTTAATATAGCGAAGAAAAAATCATCCCCTAAATATTCATCCCTTAGTTACAACCCCTAACTTTAATTTTTTTAATAGCACCCTGTATATTTTTTTATAGTTTTGGATGTGGTCTTCTATCGTCTATTCAACAGATTTATTAAAAATAAAATCGGTTTGTAAATAATCAAGAAATCAATTTATTTTTTATTTTTGTTAATTAAGTGTCCCAGACTAATTTATCCAGGCTATATTTATTAACAAAATAGAGATATTTTAAAGGGTCAAAAACTGGTCTATTCCATTTGTAATACACTTTAATATAGCGAAGAAAAAATCATCCCCTAAATATTCATCCCTTAGTTACAACCCCTAACTTAATTTTTTTAATAGCACCCTGTACTTTTTTTCTATTAATCAACGAAACATACCATCAACCACACTGGAAGATAACGTATGCTCCTACAAAGACCAAATTTTGAAAAATCAAAAATAATATTTAAATAAAGAGGTTGTCTAAGAAGTTATACTACTAATATTTCTTTTCTATTCTATTTTTTAAGGCTATCTTGATTAATTTAACAAAAATAAAAAATAAACTGATATTTTCTTGATACCTTTTTACAACCCATTTTATTTTAAAAAAATCGATTAAATAGATGATAAAAGACCACATATAAAACTATAAAAAATGTACAGGGTGCCATTAAAAAATTTAAGTTAGGGGTTGTAACTAAGGGATGAATATTTAGGGGGTGATTTTTTTCTTCGCTATGTTAAAGTGTATTACAAATGGAATATACCAGTTTTTGTTCCTTTAAAAAATCTATTTTGTTAAGAAATATAGCCTGGATAATTTAGTCTGGGACACTTAATTAACAAAAATAAAAAATTAATTGATTTCTTGATTATTTATAAACCGATTTTATTTTTAATAAATCTGTTGAATAGACGATAGAAGATCACATCCAAAACTATAAAAAATATACAGGGTGCTATTAAAAAAATTAAAGTTAGGGGTTGTAACTAAGGGATGAATTAATTATTATTTATAACTGGGAATAAGCCACAATTAAAGATAAAAATACGTTTATTGACGTTTCAATTTCCAATTCGGAAATCGAAAAATATAAATAAAAATTGAAACGTCAATAAACGTATTTTTATCTTTAATTGTGGCTTATTCCCAGTTATAAATAATAATTAATTTACAATGCCACAAGAAAATAGCTTCAGAACAATATTAAGGGATGAATATTTAGGGGATGATTTTTTCTTCGCTTTATTAAAGTGTATTACAAATGGAATAGACCAGTTTTTGACCCTTTAAAAAATCTCCATTTTGTTAATAAAAATCAAACAGGAATTTTTTGTCACCCGAAGGAATTTATAAAACTCGCAGGAAATAATGATCAAAAAAATGGAATAAATTTAAATTTTGTCATGGATTTGTCATTTAAAATGGATTTGCCAACGAGAAACCAATTAAAATTACGATAGACACTGGATCGGAAAAAACGCTAGTCAACACAAAGTTAATAGAAGTTAATTTAACAAATTTAATTTACAAAATACCTAGGGTGAATTTAATGGGCGCAAATAAACTGACATTGGCAACGATAAATAAAGGCTTACGAATAAAGATACGATTGGGCAAGAAATTTTATGCACAACAATGTGATCATGACAAACATGTCGCATGACATGATCGTAGGAGTGGACTAATTGACAGAGAAACATGTATGTAATTGATTTCAAAGATAACAAGATGAAACTCACAGAGGAAAAAGAAGAACAGGACAATTTGGAATAGGGCAAGAAACATGAGAAACGGAAAAGTGACGATTCAGATGAAGAACAAACGGTGGAGATGAATTTGGCAAAGAAACAAGGACAAAGAAGAAAGAGGAGAAACCCGTAGAAAAGGGTAAAAGAAAGTAAAACATGGAATTCCTCAAAAGATGAGATGAGCCCAAAAGAAGAAGAAGAAAAAAGGATAGAAAAAACTAAAACTTGGCATTCCTCATATGAAACGAGCCCAGAAGAAGCAAGAAAGGAAGAGGAAAATGAAACATGGGATTCCTCCAAAGAAGAGATGAGCCCAGCGAAAGAAAAAAGGATAACAAAAGACATTCACACATGGGATGAATGGAATGAGATGAGCATAAACGGAAATAGAGAGAATAAATTAGAAACAGTGGTTTTTGAAGAGGAGGTATGTGAAAACGAGGATGCAGAATAAACGGTAAACATGTGTCGTAATTTTTTAATGATTTCTATGCCCAGTATCAACTTCATAAATTGAATTAGAAATATTCTTTAATATTTTGTATGGTCCAATCCTTAATTCGTCTAACTTCTTTCTTTTAGGCAGTTACCGTTCTCCTATACTTATAGTATACATTATAGTATACATAGAACATTGGGGATTTAGTATAGGATACTAAATCCCCAATGTTCAAATCAATTTTCTTCCTATGTAGATTGACCTGCTTTTTATTATTCATGTGATTTTTTTGTATTTTCCAAGGTAATTGTTCTATCTAGTTCGAGATCAGCATGTGTAACTTTAGATGTGAGTTCAGGCAGGATGCTTATATCTTATCCTTCTATTAAACATTTTGGTGCAAATTTTATGATGGTATGTTCAGTTTCATTATATTTCTCTACATATTTTTGAGCAATTGTTGTCCATGCTGTTTTCCTGAAACTTTCATTTACTTTGTATCTAATTTTATTAACCAATGTTTGGTTTAATCTTTCATTAACACCGTCTGAAAATGGTGCATAAACAGCAGTAAATATCATTTGGATGTCATTGATCTGTATGAAATCTTTGTATTCTTTTGAGTTGATGCCAGGATATTGATCAGTCATAACAGTTTTAATTTTGTGATCTTGTGTTACCATTTTAATTATCTTTATGAAGTCATCAGAGTTTTGTATTTTTGGTGTCAAACAATAGGCATATCTTGAGAAATGGTCGGCAAGAAATGAAGATATTTTTTGTTTAATGAGATCCTCCAAAACCACCAATGGTGTCAATGGAGACAATTTCAAATGGATATATAGCTGGAACTAATTATGACATTAAATCATAGTTAGGATTCCTTCTTGATTTATTTTTATTGCAGATATCACAGTTATTACCTATTTTCCTAATGTAAGTAGTTATATTTTTGGCTGTATAAAATGGTGATATTTTATTTACCATCTGGTTTGTTCCTAAGTGACAGTAAGTATTGTGTACATTTTTTATCAATGTTTTACTTAAAGCTTCAGATAAAATAATTTTGTCGTTTCTGTTTAACTTTTTATAATATATATATATATATATATATATATATATATATATATATATATATATATCATTCTTGTAACTGTATTTAGTTTTAATATTTTGCAGATCAATATTTGACAGTTGGTCAATTTTTATATCTTCCAGATTGATCAGGTTTACTACTTTTAATACTTCATCGGTATTTTCTTGAGATTCTAAAACTGGATTTCTGCTTAAACAGTCTGCTTCCTGGTTATATTTTCCTGGATTATACTTAAGTTTAAAATTATCTTGGGATAAGTAAAATATCAAGTCTCCCAATTCTTCATCTGTTCTAGCTTTTAAGTTTAAATTGTCTAAAGGTTTGTGATCTGAATATACTAGGCTCTTTTACAATGAGCAGATGTTACCCGTATTTTATAGCTTCCTTTATCGCTAGACATTCTAAATATATTGCCTTCTTTTTCTTTTGATTTTCCATTAATATTTGATTTTGAAAAATATGCCACTGGCTTGCTATAGCATTTTTCATATAAAAAAGCTTGCACGATTCAAGATTTACGCCGTCAGAATCCCACAGCGTTGCCAAAACATCAGAATAGTTAGTAAGTGAGGAATTTTTAAAATGTCAACTATTTATCAAACTATTATATTAACAGTAAATACACTTAGTTTTAAGACTACTGCAACACATTAAAATACATAGGAAAACATTTTAATACAAAATTATATATTCTAAATTTTAAACTTACCTCTTTTAGGGCTTTAATAGTAAAAACGTCCCGCCATTATTTCTTGTTCAAAATAATCTATCTTATATGAAAGCTTATCAGCTTTCTACAGACTATTTATTTGTTTTCGCATATCACAATCACAATACACAACAATAATTAGTTTTTAAAGCTATTAATCTAAATTTAATATGTATTTATAAATACAATTTATTAATATATATTATATTATGATCAAATTGTGTAAGAAATCAAAACATAAACAAAATTCCTACTCTGAAAAAGCGGCAACACTTAATACACTTTTGCCACCCGCTGAACTGTCAATAAAATTTGAAGTATTTCCGTATCAGTTGCATACAATTGTCTAATATATTTAATTAAAATTATTATTTTGTGGAATATTAGACTTAAAGAGTTATTTCATAAAATTTATATTATTAATAATAACAAATGTTTTTGGTTATTTAATCAATATAATTCTAAAATTTCCAATATAATGATGATTACATTTTTCTGATTATTACACCATGTTGACGCCTATGAAAGATCGAGCAGTTCCGTATGGGTTTCGTATTATTAGCTGTGTTAGGAAAATTTGAACTCTAAGGTTGATGTTCTGGAAATTTTAAATACAAGTGACGTCACTTTGTAGAAATCGTGACGTGTAAGTGTTTTACTTTGAAAAATGTTATACCTCCGTTTTCATCAATTTGTTTTAATACAGCTCCTACTTTTTTTATACTGGCATCTGTATACCTATATATTCATTGGCAAATCAGGGTTGAAAATCCTTAATATTGGATCTTAACAAAGTAATGACTTTATTTTATTAAAAGATTTTTGACACTCCTAAGATCAAATAAAATCAACGTCTTTTCTAAGAAAGTTGTGCAGAGGGTCTAAAATGATTGCAATATCTTGGACAAACTTATGATAATAATTGATTTTTCCCAAGAATTGACGTACATTCTTTCTAGTTTCTGGAACAAGGAAATTTTTCACAGCAATCAAGTAGTCTTTTAAAGGTTTTATGGAACTATTTTCTATTATGCGTCCTAAGTATTTTACTGATTGTTCTGCAAAGGTACATTTAGAAAATTTTAGTCTGAAACCTTCATTTAATATTGCATCAAATAACTTGGACAAGTGTAATATATGTACATCAAAGTTTTTGACGAAATTAGAATATTATCTATAAATTGACTCTAAAGTTTATATTATCTTATAATGCTGCTTAAAATCCGTTGAAAAACTGCTGGAGCCATCTTCAAACCAAATGGGAGGCAAGTCCACTGGAAATGACCTTCTTGTGTCACAAATTGATTTTTGTTTATCTTGTACTTTCATTGGAATTGACCAGAATGCTGAATTTATGTCTAAAGTAGAAAAGTACAGTTGTTAGTTTTTACCACCAAGTCCTATATCAATGGAAAAGGTTGCTATTAAGGAACAACGCATTTATTTAGTTCCCTCAAATTTATACCCAGTCTTGTCTTTCTGTCCCCCTTTTTTGTATGTTAGTGTTACTGGAGCCGCAAATGGACTATATGATTCAATTA